TCTTCTCTTCTCTTCTCTTCTCTTCTCTTCTCTTCTCTTCTCTTCTCTTCTCTTCTCTTCTCTTCTCTTCTCTTCTCTTCTCTTTGCCATGTCTGTCCCATTTGACATTTACCATGGTTCATCATAAACAAGTCTCCATATTTCTCTATTCTTTCATTCTCTTCATAATCCCTGCTACCTTTTTTCTCCCTCTACAGTACACCCCCTGCACTCTCATTCTCTCTCTCTCTCTCCAATCTCATTTCCTATGTAATCTCAGGCTACAGAGGACCATTTTCATTCCTGCTCTACTCATCTTATCATCCACCCTGTCACCTCCTCTGTCTGCTGTCCTTTTTTATATTCCTTTATTCTAACAAGTCTGCATCTGAGAACCCATCAATAGTCCACCCCTTTTCATTTCCCTAATGTAACCCCACACTTGCACGCACACACACACAGCACTGTGTGGCCCTAACCCTTAATTTCATCACCGTAACCTGTTCCCCCATCATTGCAATGTGGTGGACCCCGCTCCCTACAACTATGTAATTGACTGTGTGTGTGTGTGTGTGTGTGTGTGTAGCCAGCAGTGCACTATTTTAAATCTGCGTGTGGATTATCTCTGCAGGTCAAAATGAACAGCAACAAGACAAAGCAGATAACTTAAAGAAGGAAGAAGATGTAAAGGGGTGAAAAAATTGTGAGACAAAAATAAATATGAAGGTGACAAAAGGAGGGTGAGACTGGGAGGGACAGACAAAGAGGAAAAGAGTGATTTCAAGGAGGGAAAGCTGTCACTGAAGGCCGAGGTGAACCCTCACCCTCATGCTTGCTTTAATCCCTCATTTATGTGAACTCAGCTTTGGAAATGAAGCTGTCTCTGTATTTTTCTTCCCTTCACCCATCCTGTGGTATAATCAGAAACCACACATGCATTCAACACACACACACACATATACACAGTTGCAGGACAGAGACACAGAAAATCACTCAGGAGAGGTTTTAAATTCATTCCAGAGTTAGAGGCAGAGATTCATACCGCCTCACCTTGTCTCCTAGAGGAGAAATCATCGGATATGTTAGAGACAGAGGGGAATTATGGGTAAATGCACTGGTGAGGAATGATAGTCTGCAATCTCCGGCTGTAATCTCGGATCGCTGACACATGCCATTCATTTCAGACTGTACCAATATTCTCCTGCGTGGCCTGGAGCCAAAGTGTGTGACTTTGCAATTTTTTTTAGCTATTTTCCATAAAAAAAATAAATCACAGTTTTAAATCACAAATGCAAAGTTACATTTCAAAAAAAGAAAGAAATAAACGCTGAAAACCCCTCTCTTTAAAAATCTTTATTGCTTAACTAATCCTGAAGCTTTGATCTTTAATTAGTTTGGGAAAACCACAGATGAAGAATAAATGGTAAAAAGAAACATGTCAGTGTGTTTCACGCTTTAAACACGTTAAATAAAATGACTGATATAGGCACTGTGACATCTTAAATGTTGCAGCTAAATGAAGGTGGCTTGTTGCATTTGTTAATCTGGTTCAGATTTTTTCATTCTTTTATTATTGAAATTATGATTATTTTAATCTTTTATTTGGCTTAGGATGGCAGAAGAAGAAGGAAATATATATACACGCAACCAATAAAATGCAACACGTCCCTGTGGAAGCAACAGGACTGTACAGCCATCTAGTGGTCATGACAGAAAAAGGCAGTGTGGATTGTTATTTGATGAACAGATCAGAAAAGGGGGATTAACTTTTTGCAGCCCAGCTCTCAGCACTTATACAACAAATAATAATATTGCAGTTTGAAATCAGTTTTTCTCCAAAGCAAGTTAATCGATGCCCTATCAGCTTAGCCACTCTAGAAGCAATGGCCACTTTAGAACTTCTCAATCTTAAGTGTAAAATTAAAACATGCAAACCTAAGATCCAGCTAAGGAAGACCAAAACATTTCACAGTTGCATCCTTCTTTTGTTCCTCCTTCTGTCTGTCTCCTCATCCCTTTGTTTCACCTTCCTCAGGTGGAGTGAGTATCATACTGGTTTGTAATAGCGTGCTGTCAGTGTGGGCCGCTGTGAGGTGAGGTGTGGGGAGGAGAGCAGTGCGTCTCAGATGAGATATGTGACTGGCATGCTAACACGCAGTTTTATCTGAGCAAAAAGAGAGAGAGACAGGGCCCCCACATCTCCTCACTATAGGCCTTTGATTAAAGCTCCCCAGGTACGCACACATACTCACAATTCCAATAACACACACAGGAGTGTACACACACTCACCCGCTCGGATTCTAAATAAATTGCAGCTGGGAGAACACACACACACACACCTACTGTATATGCACATACACACATCTTTCCGTTGCAGGTGGTGTTGTTCTGACCTAAGCCAGGTAGCTTGTCCATTATGGAGTTGATAGGAGGATTTGGCCATGTTGATTCTAGACAACATCATCTCCTCCGCCATAAATAACCTGAATGTTTTCTCTGAGTCACACCACAATATATAGACAATAAGAGCTCTCAGCTTTATCCCTGGGTTGCATCCACTGCACGCAAACAATCACACATACACATAAACCTCCATAAAATGATTGCGTGTGGACGGACGTAAGCAGAATCACAGATTTAAAAGTACAGTTGGCCCCTGCTCAGCTTAGTTTTATTGTAAATTACAGCTTTGCATTCGAGTTTGGCTTCAATGTTTGTCTCAAAAATGTGTTTTCCTCAGATGGACCACGGGGGGAAGCTGGTTTGCTTTTAGATGAGCAGCGTCGTCCGGCGCTGTGGTCTCAATAGCTTGCCAATAAAGCTTTGGATACAAACTGTATACCCCTGACCAGTGGAACTATGGGGGAATGTGATGACTTCCATGAGGGAAGTAATAGACAAGCCACACTCACTATTACTGAATGTGGGTAAACCATATTGAAATATATTTCTGCCAATTTGTCATTATCTGTGTCTATATTGTCTTCCTTTCCAAATATGGAAAAAAAAGTCAATTTTACCTTTTTTCCATATAGCAAAAAAACCCTATACTGAAATTACTTTTTATGGTTGTAGAAACAGATAAATTGGAAAGGAATCATCTTTTTTTCCAGACATTTTTTTATTTGTTTTATAAAACACAAAAATGAATGAATGCATAGACATATAATATTTCATATATTACATATACAACAAGTAGTACACCTGGCACGCTGTTGTATTTCACCTCTTGACAGCTAGAGGGTAGTACTGTGCTACAGCATAATGTACTGAATGGCAAGGTCATTACAGTTAATCCAAATTGACAAATTCATTCACAAGCAATTCTTAAAGATTGTCTTTTAATCAACATATAAATTCAGAAATGTACACATGATCAGTACAAACCAACCAAAATATACAGCTGATTCAAGAAACTGAATGGATTTATATTTTCTGTAATTTTGAATATATACAGCAAGTTAAATATTATCCACATTCCTCTCTGCATTTATCATGAATTTCATTACTGCAATTCTGATCTTTATTATATTAATATATGTATGTATATCAGGAAAGTCTCATTGTGTAAGCTATGTGTATTATAACTCAGTATCAAATATTAACCACAAATTTAAATATATATATAATTTTGTTGCATAACTGTCATTTACTTCCTGTGTACATACTGTAGTTCAGAGGTGAGCACAGTTTTAGATGTATTAGGCCCAAAAGAACAGTATTATTTTTGTGATAGCCAGCTTTTTTTCCTGAGTATCTTTAATTTTTTTTATATTTATTTTTTTGCAATAGCTTTTTTTCCTATAATGAATAAAAGCAATTTTTGTACATTCACATATTTTCAGATAAGTTATAAACTGTACAGTTTAGTACATTAGGATTGATCTACAGTAGATATATGTTTTATATATATGTATAACCAATCAAGTAAGAAATTTAAGACAAGAAAGAAAGTTAAAAAAAACATTTTCATTTTACTAAGCAAGAAGGGTGCCTTACTGACTTGAATACCATCAGTCAGTTAATGGTTTTAAGTGACCACATAGATGCACAACTTCTTTCATTAATCCCAGTTTTGCAGCAGAATATTAAACTCTGAGGGCTCAATTTTCTTGAGACCAAACACAGATGGAGGCTCAGACACAAAAGCAGCAACAGGTGAAACAGAAAGCACACAAATTTCAAAATAAAAATCAAGCTACATCACCTTAAATAGGCTGTCAGCAGTGCTTATTTAAACAGACCCATTTATGTCTTAAAAGTAAAGTCAGCATTCTAAATATAAAAGAGTCTCTCTGCAAAATACCAGTTTAAAATACTCATCAAACAAAATAAACGGTCTTCAGGTCACTTAGAGATAATTTTGTTAAACAAACGGTCAGACTGAAATTCAGCAAAACCATGAAGAGAGCTCCTGCCGCCACCATCTGGACTTTTTTTTTTCTTCCGGTGTGCTGCAAGCTTTTATCTTCCTTACTCAGCACAGCGAAATTAAAGGCTACTGGACCCCTGCGGGAGTCTATCCCTGATATTTAAAAATAAATTTGGAAGGCATGCATTTGAGCTTGTTTTAAAATGTTTTCACCAACATGTTTACTTGTTCAACATTCAGGTTGGATGAAAGTCATGTGAGCAAATATTTATGAATATGATTCCAGTGGTCAAAATGAAATATTGTACGAATGTAATGTGAATATATATAAGTTTAGATAGAGTCTGGACTTTGTATTACACATAATATATATGTGTGTGTGTGTGTGTGTGTGTGTGTGTGTGTGTGTGTGTGTGTGTGTGTGTGTGTGTGTGTGTGCGAACGTATTTTGATGGAGCTCGGGACTCATCCTGGGGACAGCTGCATTACTCCAGATGATTTCACTGTTAAATCTCTGAGAAATAGCTTTCTAGTGTGATGCTCAGAAAAACAGAGAACATGCCTTTAGTTGACGGATCCTGCTGCCAAGTCTGGAGATTTAAATGAATAATAAAGTTGCTGCTGTGCCATCATCGCAACTTAAATACAATCCCTCTTTCATATCAGTGACTACAGTGGAAGCAGTATCATTCTTGCTGCGGTGTGATGACTATGGGTAAGACATGGTCTGAGCGTGTTTTAAGGCAAATACAATTTTGTGCTAAAATGAGCACCAATGTTTGACTGCGCCGCCTGATCAGGATACCCAGAGTCTGCGCTGCCAAACACTCTGGTGCCAGGAAATAAGCAAATAAGCATAGACACACACGCAGACACACACAGACAGGGTTGTACCTGAAAAAGACTGCATAAAAATTGTGCTTTTCTTTTGTGAGTTTTGCCACTGTAAGAAAATAAAACCTTGAAATGTGGTGCACATAACCGGTTAGGATATTGTATCAGGAGCTCCAGGAGTCATGGGGTAGGAAAGTCTAACTGTTGACACTGAACAGAGATTTCTGTCATAATTTTCATACCATGCCTGGATAATGAACAGGGGGCAAGGAAACTGATCTGCTGTCAGATTCGTTGACATAATGCAGGAAAGAGTCAGGGGTCTGTCTGTGCAGAAGGTGAAGGGCTCGCTGGAGGACAAACAGGCTGGGGAAAATGTTTGTACATTTCCGGTGCAGGACCCTGCGGGGGCGATGGGATGGGAGTGTCTGGAGAGGCTGCAGGAAAAGAGACAGGGACAAAGCAACATTTGTAGGATTGTGTGATATACATAGATATATATTACAGATTTTAATTACTTTGTTGAAGCATAATTTAAAAAAAAAACATTTTGTTTTTGGACACACTCCTTAGATAAGATAAAGTTTGTGTTTGTTTGTGTGTGTGTCACGTTTGCTCCAGTGTTACTGAATGCACTTTACATGACTGCATGCATTTTTGTTTGTGTGTGTGTTAACTGATAGCATCCAGAAACTTACCTATTTGTGGAGTGTGATTAACAGGCATGGTACTGATGACCAATGTGTGTCCAGTCACAGGGTCCTGGGCCAGCTGGGTGTGTGCTGAATGGTGCAGGTGTGTGGGTTCTGTTGCAAGCCCTTAAAATATAACACAGGTGCAAATAAACTTCAACACACAGTGATGAAGTTGTAACCAGAGTAATTTTGCAGATTTCTTCCTACTTTGTTTCATGCTCTACTTTATGTTCAGGGGTGTGGATAAAGGGGGCACCTGGGGTGCCACTACCTCCCTGAAATTTGATTGCCACTCCTTGTTGCGCCCTTAAAACTGTGTTGCCATGTCAGATAAATGTATAATTATGTAGTGCTAAATAACATTACATGCAGTGATAAAATTTTGAAAGTTGAACCCCCTCTCATCTACCTCAGTAGTCTGGGCTACTTCCTACCATCCCCTGTAAATGTAGAGACTATGTTATTTATGTATACCACTCAGTAAAATTAAACAAATTTAAAATTAAACTGTTGTAACCAGACTAACTTTTATTCAGCTTTTACCATATTACAGTTGCAAAGCGGTTAGGGTTTTGAGTGTTTCTACAGGTGAGAGGTCTGTTCACATTAAAATATATTAACTCACTGAATTTTCAGCTAGTTTGTTTGTATGTGTGTAGATATCCTATTTCCTTTTAAAAAGATGGGCCAACCTGAATGAACCTTTGTACAGACATTGTCACATATACAGTAAGTCCCAGTTCTTTTGATTTTGGTGTATCATGTTCACTTCATCATTCCCCAGAGGATGCCATGTTATGTTCTCCGATATGTGTATGTCGCCCGTACATGATTTCACGGTCACGAAAATTTGAATCAATGTTCTGTTCGAGTCACCACCGAATACAGATTAAAGAATAAGAAATATGGTCCATAAATATCACAGCCGTAGAACTTAACAGGTGACATTTCATTCAAGTAAAGCTAAAGAAGCTGTAAGTACTGCAAAAAGTTTTTATGTAAGACTTAATTTTTCATATTGGTTATGTGGGTGTTGTTAATGATTCCTGTATTATATATACAACATTTCTTTAAAATATAAATGAATTACTATGAAGGCAGCAGTTTGAAGTTAAAAGACCAAAGGCAGAATGTGAAACCATGAGGCTACAATTGTGATCTTAAATTATTGTAGAAAAAATCCCCTAAAGCACTTTTTAAAAAAATTACAGGTTACATTTTTGTCTGTTTTTGGTGATTATTACCAGACATACTAACATAACCTGTAAGCCGTCTTTCTTTCTGTTTAAACAAGTTTATATATACATATATGTCTGTGTCATTCATGAGTAAGGCTAAAAAAATTACTTGATATGAGAAGACACATTGTTTTTTATAGATGTTTATAAGCTATACAGGATCTTTCCTTTTGTCTTTCAGTTTTGCTTGATCATACTCACTGCTAAATATAATGTCATCTTAACAGAATTTGAATAGCCTGAGAGTTTTTATCACTGCGTTTTGTGTGTGGTTTCGTTCTACGTTCTGACAAGATGCTGGCAAATGCAACAAGTGCAGCTATTTCTGTGCTCTTTCTTTTAAGTCGGGTTGTCATATCATGGAGGGTTTTTTTAAGCATATATGGTGAAAACTGGAAAACATTTTTGGAGATGACTTTTTAGTTTATGTTTCAAGCTTCAATTGTCTGTCATGGCCCTCCTGAGAATATATTTGATGCACTGTAGCTTTAACTTCAGATTTCCCGTATTTATATACATTTAGATGTGTTTGCAGATGTCCCTAGCAGCATCTTATGTACCCGGTTTATTCTATTTCAGCTTAACGTAATATAAATATAAATGCGTATTGTACAAAGTTATTGTGTAAAATCTTTAACTTTTTGCCTCCTGTATATAAACTAGAAAACTTTCGAGCAAGTATTCTTTTCGTTTTCCGCAGTGCTTCATAATTCTGCACTGAGAAATTTCAGCAGAGGATTTGGTGGTAGTGCTCAAGGTCAAATTTGTTTTTTCTGCACATTTACAAGCACAGACATCAGCCAATCTCACCTCCTAGAAGCATTTCATGCAACAGGTTGTCTATCTTGGCCAGGCCGCAAAACTTAATGAACTGGAGCTGTTCGATCATCTGCCAGGTGATGCTCTGCAGGGTGGGCAGCAGGAGTAACAGCTCTCCAAAACGACCCCTGGAGTCATACTGACGATCATTAATGTAGTCTTCCAGACTCATCTGAACCTGCGCGCACGCACAAACACAGAGTCCCTATGTGGTCACATGTCACTGTCATTATAAGCAAAATCCATTTTTCTTTAATTTTGCTGACATATTGAAAGAAGATGTGCATAAATTAAAAGAAAAATACATGATGACATTGAGGTTGACATTGACAGGATGGTTGCTTTTGAAATCAAAATCATTTACATGACTGAAAATTTAAAAAAAAAAAAAAAGATAAAAGATAAAAATATCCTAGAACGACCAGATGTCCCGCAACAATCTAGAAAGGTCAAATGCTTGACCTACCTGCAGTCGCATGGTCTTAATCTTCGAAGGATCCCGCAAAGACTTTGCATCTGCAGAATGGAAGGCAAAGCAAGGAAGGGGGGTTGCGTTAAGGCGGGGAAGGGATATAGGACAGGATTGAGGGACGGGGCAGCACAGGATAAATAAATAAATAAAAATGGAAAGATCATGGATGGAATTGCGGATATGAGTGGAATTGATGGAATGATTATGGTCAAACTTTGGCATGAAGTGCAAAATGAAGGATTTAGTGAAGGGGATAGAAAAGGGAGGGAGTAACAAAACATGGGGGCAGGGATTGTGGTCACACTAGGGTAATGTAAAGAGGCAAGAGAGGGATTGGGACCTAACTTTGAGGAGAAATCTAGCCGGGACATGTTGGGAAAGATGGATATGAGCAGAAAAGGCAATGCAAACAAGATAAAATCGTCTGTTCAAATTGATTGTGATGTCTGTCATCATATGTGGTTTACTATTTTTACTGGTTCTGGGGTTAAATGCCACTTTTTATTCATTACCTGGGTCAAAAAAGACAATAGCCTTGAGTGCTGCAAACTCGTTTTCATCTATTTGTATTTCCTGGAAGGGCCGCACCAGCTCATCCAGGACTCTGTTGGCTACCCTACAGATCTCTGGTTCAGGACTGTCTCTGTGGATCACACAGCCACTACCTGCAGGGACAGTGAGTAAAGTTAGCGGCAGTGTTGAGATGAAGTAGGTACTGAACATAGGTGTGTATGAGGTGGAGCGCTGTGGTATGTGCTTTTGGAGCCAGGTGGATTTTTGTTTCCTTCAGAGAAACTTGTAGACTCTCTTTTAGGCAGGGCAATGGGCTATGGAAAATAGGTGTGGAGATCTTAAGAAGTATAAAAGTGCCTGATTGTTTGTAGTTGCTTACAGTATGATGTATCGATAATGAATAATGTAATTTACAAGAAAAACTTCTGAAGTCACAGAGAAACAGAAAGCTTTAGTTAATCATTCTAAGTCCACATGACTTCACCACACATAAGGAAGAGGCCTTTCTAGTCATTGGTTTCTACCTAAAAGCAGGAAGTCCTTGAATGGCATTGACCTTTTGGCAACCCCAAGCAAGAGGTGTTCACCAGCATGAGCCCGAAGCAAGCTCACCTATGGACAAACACACACAGGTAAACAAAGAACAGAAACAATGTAACAATGCCTCAAATTTAATCATTACCTTCAAATATTCTGTTTTCAAACCTCGCACATCAACAAGTGCTGAAAATTTGTTTCCAAAACCAGGCATGAGATAATAAGTACAGTATTGTACAAATGTCCTGAGTCCACCCTCATTTCTCTATATTTTGGTTCCAAGTGCTTGCTTCTAATTTTTTAAAGTGGTCTTAATCAATAGTTCTCCAGGATGTCTGAAGGGCTTTGTACCTGACTGTTTTCAGAGGAATGTTTATTTGTTTTGTTTCGCTCTGCTTTTTGTTAAGCTATTTCAAACGGACCTATGAATCATTCAAGCATAAAAAAGGAGTGTAACTCAAGGGATTAACCAATGTTCTGTCTACACATAACAACTCTGGAAAAGAAACCATTTTAAATTGTATCTTTGAGCACTTTGTTGCTAGCAACCTAAAAAACCCCACAATTTCTTCCCCTTTCCTTAGTTGAATTTATGGCAAATGGCAAAGATAACACAGTTTCACAGGCATAAAATATATTATTTTTTTGCACCTGCAAGGGGATTCTCAAAAAGCTGTTACTTGAAAATTTGGCATATCTCAGCAATGTGTGTAATAACATAGAGAATCTGTACAGGTGGAGGACAAAAGACGATGCGGCAAGCCTAAACAGTATGTGCAGAAGATGAAGAGTAACTGAAGTCACGTCATTAAGAAATAGGAAAACTCCAGCAAGGACCTCAGCAACTAAAATGTGCATCTGGCTAGGGATGGGTACCGGTATCCGGTGCGCACATTTCGGTGCTTTATTTCGGTGCTTTTTTTTCCTGAGATGTCATACACTTTGGATTCTAGCCAATCATTTTACCTTTGCAAGCGTAGTAGGCGGGCCCAGGTACGTACGTTCTTTTAGAGCAGAGCTACAGATTAAAAATGCCCAAGGCGAAGCGGTCAAATTCTGGCTGTACTTCTCAGCAAAAGATGCAAACTCAGCAGCCTGCAACAAGTGCTTTAAGGTGATACTGTGCAAAGGAGGTAACACCTCGAGTCTGATGAAACACCTGGCGATGTATAGCATTTTGTTAAAAGCCGAGAAATGCGCCGTATTTGATAGCTTGCTGCGAGACCTCACACCGTGCACATCTACTGCGGGTGGGTTGCCTGTTATCGGACTAGGATTTAGTAACATCCCCCAAGAACCCGAAGAGTAGAGTCCTGGCCCGTAGCCCGGCCAGTGTAGCAGAAATGATGAGGGATGATGATGGCAGCAGCAGCCGTTCTTCTCTGCGTGAGTAGCTTAATGTTGTTCGTGTGTAAGCTAACCACGTTATTGAATTAATGCATGTAAGGTGAACTAGCAAACACCGTCGTAGTTACATGCGGCTGTCGTCTTGTTTGATGGCAGATACTCTCTTCACCCTGGCCAAAAAGGCTAAAATGACCAAAGAAAAAGTGGGAAACAGCTAAACATGAGAGGTTTTTGGACAAAGTTTGTTTTTTGCATTGTTTAAGCACTGCTTCCATCCAAGAGTGATACCATAAATCCCCTATAGCTGCAGAAAAGGCTAACATTGTTATCTTTTTACAAAAAAACAGCTGAACATGAGAGCTTTTTGGACCAATTTTGTGTTCTCCATTCTTTAAGCACCGGTTAGAGCACCATTTAAGCACCGGCACCGTTTCAAAAGTACCAGTTTGGTACTGGTATTGGATAAAACCTAAACGATACCCATCCCTACATCTGGCCCTTCAGCTGTTAACCAAGTCTTAGTAGAAATAGCCTCAGTGCAAAGGTGGCTGTCAAGAAGCCATGGGCAAGAACTGGACTGTGTCATCAATATATACAAAGGAGATCAGGAGAGAGGCACAGCAGTGATTGTCCACAGAAACCTGTAAATTATGGTGGAGGCTCTCAGCCAGTGGTGCTGTGAATCTTGTCAAACATGGATTGGCCTTGCAAGAGCCTGGACCTTAACATTATTGAAGCAGTGTGACTTAATTGGGACTGAGAACATAACATTCAAAGAATAGCTTTAGAATGGCCTTTAAGACTACGTCAAGAAATGGCAAGAAATTTTAGGTTGAATTGGATATTAAAGGCAGTCATACCAAACTTCAAGTTCCTTAGGATTGTCCAAACTCTGTACAAAGTCTTTCCATGTATGTTTTTAGATGTTACAGTACATTGCTATAGCCATTTGCTATCATATATTAGGAAGTGAGGGGCAGCTCAAGACTTTTGCGCAGTACTGTATGCATGACACTCATTACATGCAAAGAAGAAATGTCACAGTCACAGATTGCAAAGCAGGCAGAACAGCCAGTTACCTGGTCATCCAGTGGAAGTTCTCCAAAAGTAGGAATATATTTGGCCCATTCCACCAACACCAATAACTGCTGTCTCATAGAATCACATATGTCCCCTACAGTGGCTGACTTCTGCTCTGACAAGTCTGCTATTCCAACCGGAGTAGTGCTCTGCCGGAGAAGAGGAATTGAACAGCTTGCAGGTTACAGGTCACTCATGTTACTGATAAAGTTCATCAACTAACATACAAACATAAAAGAGATTTAAAATAAGAAATTTATAAAGGGATTATCACCTGGTGGGACAATGATTCTGCTTGGGCCAAAATAGTAATAGTTGGAAGGTCTTGGGAGTCGGAGATACTTCTTCGGGAACTGATCCGATCCCTCTCATTTTGCACAGCTAATATATCACAAACATAATTATGGCTGTGTGTATGCATGAAAGAGGAAGCAATCTAAAAAAGGGAACAGTGAAGAAGCAACATCTCCAACACTTTACCAGTCAAATAGCCCCCCCCCCCCCCCCCCCCCCCCCAAAAAAGGGTAACAAAGTAACAATAATGAAGCTTTATTCCTGGTTTTCCAGTTTTGAGGCTTTAAATTTTAAGTAATTTATGAGTGTTAAGAGATGCCTGCATACACTACGACAGTTAATAATTAGGAAAAATAGCATTACAGACTCTCATCAACAAAGGGAGTCAAACGTTAACCTGATACAATCCAGAACAACATGTTTAAATAACACATGATTAGGGGTTGTAAAACTCTGTACCAAGGTTATACCCCTCATAAATACAAACACACACTAAGTAAACACCTGTTTTATGGCAGAGCCCATTTCATCCATCTTGAAGCAGTTGTCGGTTTCTCTGACAGAAGTAATTTCTTCTCTCATTTTAATTTTCCACTTTGTCATTAAACCTCACTAAGAAAGGTACTTCTCCTTCATAGTGTGTATATAATGTACATACAGTGCTGTGAGGGATTGGCCCTCTTCATGATGCCTTATCTTTTTGCATATTTGCCACATTTACATGTTTCAGATGATGGAACCAATTTTAATATTAGACAAAGATAACTCGGGTAAATACTGGTTGACAGTTATCTAAACCCACCTGGCCCTACGTGGAAAAGTAAATGGCCCCTAAACTTAATAACTGGTTGTGCAATGAGTCATTCACATCGCGGTGGAAAAACTCTGGCCCACTTTGGAAAACTATTTTTATTCCATTTCATTTTGAGCATGAACAGCCTCTTTAAGGTCACGCCGAAGCATCTCAGTAGGATTTGAGTCCAGACTTCAACTAGACACTTCCGGAGTGTTTTGGATCAATGTTCTGCTGCATAACTTGAGAACACTTAAGTTTGACTGATGACAGATGGTCTTCTTTATGTAAAGAGCAGAATTCATGGTTCCATCAGTTATGGCAAGTCATTCAAGTCCTGAAGTAGCAGAGCAGGACCAGATCATCATTGCCAAGTCGCTTTCTTATTGTTGAATCATGAACTCTGACCGTAATTGAGGCAAGTGACCTTTCAGCCTACTTGATTTCTCACTTTCTTGATTTATCTGATCTGACAGATGAATGAAATCATTGTTTAAAAAATGCATTTTGTATTTACTCAGGTTATCTTTGTCTAATATTAAAATTTGTTTGACAATTTTGTGCAACATATATGCAGAAACGTAAAAGATCAGGAAGACTCTATCTCTATTCTCTGCATGTAGGTGTAACAATTTCACTTCGCGTCTCATTCAAAAGAGGTTTCACTACCTTCTTTTTTCATGCCAGCTCTGAAGCATTTGTTGAGTCTGCAGAAACGACACTGGTTCCTCTTATCTTTATCCACGACGCACTGTCTGCTGAACCTTCAGAACATGCAAAGTTATCAGAGCAAGAAAATTGTGACATATCATTCGACAATAAAGTATGCAACCCTGAAACAAAAAGCAAATTATCACTATTTTTGGCAAATTATCTTAAGGGTGCATGAGTATAAAAGCACATTTGTGATGATATTTATGACAATTGCATGAACTATTTCTTATATTTCCCACATGCATACACACATTATGCATTTCATGCTTGCACAGTGTATCTTTGCAAACTGTACCTGCAGGTATAGACGTGGCTCTTGCGTATCGAGCGTCTGAAGAAGCCTTTGCAGCCATCACAGCTGGAGGCTCCATAGTGTTTCCCTGTGGCTTTATCTCCACAGATTGCACAGTTACTAATGATCCCATCTGGACCAGGCAGGCTTGGCTCTGTCGGCATGCTGTCTGGAGCACCAAAAAAACAAAATAAAACACTCACACAGGTAAATACAAATGCATATGCATTATGCACACGTCATTCTTTCAAAAGTGATTCACTTTGTGCATTTTATGATGATGATGGAGATTTTGACACTTTGGTCCCCAATCTCCAATAACCATGTGGTGATATGAAAGACCGTAGCATACAGTTCACATTATTTTCACACATTTCAAGCTATTCAGTGACCCCTAAAGCCCTGTGGGTGGGGGCTTTTGGATCACGAAAGAGGCCACTCTGATCAGGAAATGATCATCGGATTAAAGGTGATTTTGTAATGACTTTTATCCCCAAAGGAACTCAAAAGTCCCACTCGGTAGGTCAGCAAAATGCCCCTTCACCATTAGACCCGCTACATCCCCTGGGGGGTTAGATTTTTTCCTTTAACTCCTCAGTGTAGTGCCTCTGTGGGAGCAATTAAGGTATAAAATGTTTTGTTAATTAGTCACTGTGTGAAGCCTTACTCCAGAAATAACAAATATCAAAATGTCCCCAAAAAAACAACCCCCCCCCCTCAAACCATTTATCACTGAAGGAAACCCATAACACTGCTGATACTTCTCTGGTAAATGTGTTGTGCATTGTTTTGGAGGATGTCTGGTATTACCAGACATTGCTGTTAATGACAAAAAATGATTGTCATTGTCTTTATTTCTATTCTCTACCATTATCACCAGCATCGTCACTGTAATAGAAACCATCACCATCATCGCTGCCTCCATCTAAGTTGTTCTGTTAAAGTCTACTAAATGTCGATCGAGTAAAAACTCAAGATGCATCGAACACATACATGTTTAAATTTCTACTGCGCACAACTCATTTGGTCTCACACGGGCCAGTGCCATTGTTAAATGAGTCAATGAGTGTCTACAGTAAATGTTTGACTAATTTTCCTTCCATGCTGAGGTAACGCCCGTGTATCACAGAGATTTGTGCTTGCTGTCCAGTAAAATATCTTTATGACACATTCCTGCAGTTTCTGCCTAAACTGCTTGGTTATCATTCATTTAGTCCCCCTCAAACTTTGACACAGCCCTTTTATTTCCTTCACAACACACACTTCCTTTCATGACGCATACACACATACACACACATACACAGGCAACAACAGGCAAGTGGGATTTACTATACATAATGGTGTCAAGCAAGACACACATACACACTGGCAGTCAGTATTAAAACATCAGTCAGAGTTTCCCAAGCAGTGCACTTGAGCATATCAAACACATCAAACACATTTCCCCTCTTTCTGCAAATAGCAACTCATTTGCGTTCAGCTGCTGTCACTAAACTTCATCAGTGACTGTCTTATTTAACAAACAGCCACAACTCCTCATCCAGTACTCGGGCTGATGACCCAATCAGATCAATCTAAAGGCCCTGATAAGTATGTGAGAGAGTGGCCTATCTTTCAATGTATGTCTTTCTGTGTGCTTGACTTGTTTGTGTTTTGGTGTGAATCTGTCTGTATTTGCACACACTTACCTCGTCCTACATAGAGTACCTCTGCATGCTCAAAGCCCAGCGTGTTGTACGAAGGATCCAGGCCTTCACAGTAGTTGGCTACTTCCATATCTAACAGAGTTTTACTCTGAGGAGTAGGAGGATACTTCATTCCTGTTTGAGCCTGGTTTTCTCTCTCTTCTCTTCTCTTCTCTTCTTTTTTCCTATAGTCCTGCCTCTGTTTCATCTATTTCTTTCAGAAATAACAAGGGAGATCCCTGTCATAAAAGACCCATAATCTGATCTGATTGGGCCTTGAACAATAAGGAGGGGAGGAGCTGGGGTTCTTCTCACCTTATTACACTTCACTTATCTACCCTTCTCTCATACACTTATCACAGGGATGAATAGATAGTGAGAAAAGAGACATTTCCTTTCCCTCCTCTGTCTTTCATTGCTCTTTTATTTATTTATTTGGAGAACGCTTGCACACTATGTGCACAATTTAGGCATTTGTTCTTACAGAGAGTAACATGTATGAATGTGCATCTGACGTATGTGTTTGTGTGTGTGTGTGAGTGACTGTGCGTGTCCTTCCCAGGTTTCCTAATCTAATCAATGGTGAAGTAATAGCACTACCACCTCAGCAGATATAATCTATAAGGACACGCAGTGAAGTAGAAAACACTGATAACTCCCATTAAGGCATCCACATACACACCATGGGTTCACCCAACCCACTGTTTTTAACTCTTTATTTACTCTTTTTCTACTACAAGTTTCTAAATAATCTGACTGCTACTTTAAACATCACCAACAACACTGCTTTTAATTTCTTCTTCTTTCATAGTTTTTTTTTAGCTCAGTCATCAATGTCTATGGTTTCATATCAGTTAGAATAATTATTTGCAAAAAAACCAAACAAACAAAAAAAACCAAACAAGATTAGTCAGTACAAATTGACTCTAAAGTGCAAATTGAACAGGTGTTACCCTCCTATTTTCAGTCAGGGATGTTAAAAACACAATATGACCACCTTTGCATGAATCCATCAACATGTGCCTAACCCACCCATTTAAATCAGGGGTTTCATTACACTAACTCTTATCGTGTGGGTTAAAGGTAATCAGCTTGAGGCATTGTGCTGTGAAGACTGTAAATGATAAGAGGCAGTGTCATGGGAGATTTGATGCCCTAAATCAGCAGTGAATGGCCCAGTCTGAGGGGTTCGTCATATATGTGCAGGTATGGTGTGGTCAGTTTAGGCAACAATATTGCACACATGACAGAAAACACTATTAGCACTTGGCTGCATGGTAATAACAGATATATTCTATAATATTGGAAGCGTTAGGGACTAAGAGACAGAGGCGATAGAGAGAGAGAGCGATGTGATAGAGAGATTATAGAGAGATTACATTTTAACCAGGTAGTAATGTTAGGACTCCTGACTCATCACATTTGTGGAAAGGGAAGATGAAGAATTGCATCCTTACGGTCACATTTAGTCTGTATAAAGGCATGAGGGTAAATGCAGATGCTCCATGTTAGTTTCTAATAAAGGTTCTTATGTGATTACAGTTTAATAGACAACAAAGAATCGTGCTCTTAGGCTTGTAGATAGAAAGAAAAATCAATGTTCACTCAAAAGTAAAAAAAATCTTTAATCCAGAACAGCCTAAACGCTCTAAAAGGCTTTTTTAAAGCTTCACCTTCCATTCTTAAGAGCAAGGACAGAAAGCACAGCAATTGAGGTCTTTATTTCTGTAATGATGAGTGCCTTTGATCTTTCCCCTCTTTTTCATTTTGAATACATAAGAAAGCACTTTCTGATTTGCACTAAGGAAGCTACAACATTTGGAGCAGCGAGGGTGATCAGCTGCTTGTGTTGTTTTACAGTAGGTTGTTAATTTTGTTGATCTCTCAGATACATTGAAAGCCTATTCTGCCACCTGGCAAAAAAAGAAAATATAATATAGAAGCAGATCAGCCTAGACGTAAATTTAAATTAAAAAGATTTTCATGTATGAGAATCACATTCATAGAAACAGTTGTAATACTAAAAACGTATTGTGGCTTGTTGCAGGACATGTCTGAGAAAGCTTGCATCTGCCTAGCAACCAAAAGCCTTTTGTGGCCATAAAACCCATAGCTAAGAGGCTATATCTGTGTGAACTGGCCATAATACTGTCGCTTCTATTTAGACTAGGTTTTAATAGTCACAGATGACAATCAGCCTCGATTACTGACTCTAGTAAACCCTTACTTCCTGATACTCTGGAAACAGTTAAGTACGCAGTTCAGTAGTATTCACTCCTAAAACTGTACGTCTTTAACACAGTATTTCTTTTTTATGTGTTGCAAAAGAGAGGAAGAGAACATGCAAGAGACTAGATGCATGAAATAAATAGTTAACTATGGTTTTGCAACTCTCACTCTTCACAGTGAAAAGTTAGCGTTACTGTATATGCAAGCTGAAAAAAAAAAGTTAAAAAAATACAAATCAATAATTCAGCTGAAGTGCGTCCTGTGGGTTTAGACATTATAGTTAAGTTTAAGTCTAACAGAACAGCAGAACAGTAAAGGGCAGACCGATATGCACAGCCTCAAAAGTCAATCAACAACTCTGGGAATGCCTCAGCAAAACAATCCCATTGCAATCTGGGCTAAAAAATTAACTAAGGGTTGTTTCCTTTTTCTCAATATGTGTATACTTCATGTATTGTCAAGGTTTTTGCAAAAAACAAGTAGTTTTGTTCACACAGGCGTTGCATGTTCTTGTAAATAGTAAAAAAATAAAGAGCAAAACTTCCGCCTCCTTCAGATCAATTCATTATAGAACTGCATTATAGAAATGGAATCGTCCTATTGGACATTAAATGCAGTGATAGTAGAAGAAAAACACCACGTGAACAGATTACCATCTTTCTGCAGATGAAATGGGTTATCGCCCGATCAGCGCAAGCCCATGTTGCAAAGTTAGTATTTCTTATCTGCTTTTTACAAAATGCCTGCAGATACAGAGTACTGGCTACAGGACATAGCAGCAGGTGCCGTTTGTGCGAACAAGGAGTCCAACCATTGCCACCATAATACAGAAACCACGTGATTTAAGGGATCGCATTCACAAACTTCCTTGAAAAACTACCAAAGGTAACCTTCACTCCCACTACAGCAAAAACAACACTTCTTCTACTCTTCTTAGTCTGATGTGAACCATTTGAATTTCAGCGACAGTGTACTTAAAAAGAAATGTTTGGCTTACCTGTGTTTCTGTTTCTGTCCGGGATGTGCATTTATCCAGGTGTACCGTTGTTCTCCGACAGCTAGCAGCCCTGAGCCCCTCAGTGTGTCATTGGACTAAGTCACACTGAGCATGGGAAAATAGTAAAGGTGTTCAACCACGTTAAAAGGGAAGGTTGGAGAGCTGAGCGGCCTATAATTCAGAAAGCGACACATTGGATGGCGCCACCATAGCCCTGTCATTAGATCGATTTACTAAACAAACTCAAACTAGGGTGGGGATGTTAAACAGTAACCCAGGACCATAAAACTGAAAAGGAAAAGATCACCAGGTGTGAGTCTGTGTGTGTGTAGGTGTGTGTGCCCTCTGAGACCCAAAAAAGGTTTGAGATAATGTTTCACAAAATAATGGGGGAGATATAACAATTTACAGCATTTATTTCTCTTCTTCACATCGGCTATGTACACAGGATTGAACTGTTAAGTGCAAATACAGTTAAAAAGTATTCACTTCCACTTAGAGTCCTTGTACACAGATTTACAGAAACAATATCCTGAGATCTCCAATTTCATAGTCTAACATTATAAATTCCAAGTATGAAGCCTTTCTATTATAAGCACAAACCAGCAAATTGCAAGAGCGCCTGCATTAGGAAATAAAATCAAAAGACAGTATTAAAGTCCTTAAATCTTCTCATGAATAAAAACACGGCTTGCTGTGACATAGTACACATATATAGTAATAACAACAGTAATAGTTT